AGCTAATAGCTATCAAATTGGACAACATAGATATAGATTACTTCCATCATCACAGAAAGTTCTTGAGAGCACTCATCTCAAGAATTGGCTAAATACACTATAAAAACATTATTCAAGTATACAATGTATTCAATAGCATTTTTATATACTATATTTACTTTAATTGGACTGGGAATGCAGGTGATTTGTCAGAAAGACAAAATGTCTCTGAAATCATCTAACTACCCTGTCATGAATCATCTAATTATTTTATCTCAAACATAACAGGGTTTAACACAATATTGGTACTGAATAAATATTTGTTGCATGAATAAATTCATAAATGGGCAAGTATTTTTTTGTACGCAGAGTTTTTTGGAGCTCATTTGTCTCACTCTTGAGGGCTAACAAACACAATAAAATTATTTTCTCAATACAGAATAATAATCTAGGCCGGAAGAAAATGATAACTTTAAGCAGGAAGTAGGATACTGTGCTAGATCAAATGCTAGATAATACAAGAGAATGTTTAAGATGAGCAAGTTCGATGTTGGTCAAAGTGGATAGGGAAGATTTTCTGATGAAAAGAATATTTACGATAAATTCTTAAGAACAATGGATAAAAGAAAAGTGAAAAGTCAGTTAGATGAAAGGGCAGTACAAACCAAAGTTTTGGAGTTAAGGGAAAATTTGATTTATTTTAAGGAATTGGAGAAATAATGGGAATCTCCTATTTAATGAAGAATTCCAGTTGGTATAAAAGTTGAATAAAGTATGGTCAATTTAGGCTTTCTCAAATAAGCAATAGTCCTTCTGAAAATTTTGTGATGAAACTATCTTAGATAATGAATTGATTTCCTTTGAAAAATCAGAAAGAATACAGATAATACAGGCATAACAATATATGTTTCCTAAAAATGACTAAAGATATGCAAGAACCAAGAACTAGTCGATTCTAAGAGACAAATCATAACTCATAGAAATATTCATAGAAAACTTAAATCTATCTCTATAAGGAAACTACCTTTTTCCTGTGGAATGTGCATATTTCAATGGCAGCAGCCTTTGTTCTAACAGGCCCTGATGATAGTTTGTATATTTAAAATATGTCACAATTACAAACTCACTCATTTTCCTGCAGATAATAGTAAAGATCTGCTGCTAACAATTTCAAGTATAATCACTTATCTTCTCTAGAGAACCACTTTGATCTTCCCCTTCACCCACCACTGCATTAATAAAACTGTTATCACTCTACAGCATGGTTCTATATAGTGAACATAATGGAAGCTAGCTTCTATTAATTATTATTCTAATAATCAATATAGGTAGCTAAAATTAAATGTCCCATATAAGAGCTATGAAGAGAACCCATTTAACTAATTTACATTCATATATTTAGAAAGATATTCAGTGTCTCCATTGATAGCAATGTGTCATAAAAAAAATAGTTTTGAGAACTATGAGAAAGAGATGAATTTGGTAAAGTTGTCTTTAAATCTTCATCACCTCTCCTATATTTCTTCCAAGTAATATCTTTATTTTTCAAGTACATATTTTTTCTTTTTATTGAAATGTATAAATTGAAATTTTCAAATAATAAAAAATAGTAAACATAGTGAAAAATAAATCCTCATTCTATTGAAAATCCCCATCTTTCCCCAAGAAGTAACCACCATTACTTAATTATTTCCAAAATAATTTCCTTCTCCCCTCTCTCTTCCTCAATAGATGATAGATAGATGGATAGATAGATAGATAGATAGATAGATAGATAGATAGATGGATAGATAGATAGATAGACAGACAGACAGACAAAGGTATAGATATAGATAGATGGATAGATAGATAGATAGATAGATAGATAGATAGATAGATAGATAGACAGACAGACAAAGGTATAGATATAGATGATATACATATACATCTATCTCTATATAATTCTGAATATACTATTAATAATGACAGAACCATATTCCTACATGCACTGATATTAAAGGCAGAATAGTATTCCAAGGTACAGATGGAAGTGTACCACTTTTCATTTAGTCAGATATGTAGGTTCTTAGTCATTTACAAATGCAAACCACTGTTACAATGAATACCTTCTTACATATTGTTTCATATATTTTATTTTGGTAGACCTGTAGACTACTTGCTGAAAATACAATTGTTCAAAAGATATATGCATTTTAAATTTTGGTAGATATTTCCAATTGGTCCAACAAAGAGGATGTCTTAAGACACAATTCTAGCAGAATATTAGAGTATATTTACAAGGAACTGTATGAGGTGAGGAAGAAAATTGTCTATTTTATGGAGATTTTTTTCTTGTGCCTCTGAGAGCATGTTTCTAAGCCTGTAAATAATTAAGTCTATAAAAAATGAACAATTTTTGGTGAATAATCTTAGTTTAGCCGGCCATTTTGAATTTGATAAACATCACTGCATGATATATTTGATCGTTGTAATTCTAAATATATCAGACTGATCAAAAATTATGCTATATGATTAATTAATTTAGAAATTACATAGAGAAACAATCAAATAATGACTCACGTTTTACCCTCTAGGAGGATATATGCCATATATCCTGTTAAGAATATATGGCATATATAATTTCAACTTCAAAGACATAAAAATAAAATTTATTACTGAAAATTAATATTTAATAAATATGTATATAAACTTCTTAGCTATTACTATCACAAAAGTAATCGAATAGAGTTAATTTTAGAGGAATCTGGAATCTAGCACTACGATTCTACAATATTACCTTAGCAGGTAAGCTAACAAAAAAAAAAATTCAAGGTCTACTAGCTTTAGATTTCAGTCATGTTGATTAGTTCTCATGAAATCTAAAGATTATTGCCAAAAAAATCTTTATTTATAATGTTTGTTAGGTTGCTTTATGAGAAACTATAATACTTGACTAAGCATTTTAATATTCTAAAGAAACCACACATTGATACATGTAGTGTGATATTTTAAGAAATGCATTTAACATAAGAATTCTTCCAAAAAGTCCATAAAACACTAAAACAATAATTCCAGGTAATAATAAATATGAATTCACATATTTCAATTTCAAATGTTAATTTGAAAACCACAAGTATGTTAATTGTGGTTTTAATTTAATATTCATATACAGGTATTAAATTATGTCCATGATTTACACTAATTATAGCCAAATATATTACCTTATATGAAATATGTATATAATGGTACTATATCATGAGCTAATTATAATATGCATAAGTATATTCATAAACATTTGGACAAAGATTATCAGCCTTTTACATCCAACTCAATTAAATAATGTTTAATTTAGTATTAATGACTTTAATGCCGGAAAGATCTATTTGATCAATTATTTCATTTTCTCATTTCCAAGTGTGTTTATGTAATCATGTGCATTCATTTGAGTATTGCGTGAAAGAAAGTAGACATCATATGACTGTATACTGTTTAGTATGAAATGGAACATAGATACGTTTGTTCTTGTGCTTTAAGCTTTGACTCAAATTTGATCACTGATATATGATACATGTATTTCATTTCTAGTCAATAGTCAACACTCAAAGATACAAGAGTCTACAGACTAATAAATGAGGCTTTTTCTTATTTCTATAATGTTTTCCCTCCCAAGTTCTTCTGTGGTCTCTTCATGTCACAGTATTTTCTCAAAATTCACTTTCCTGCATAGCAGCTTATAGAGACACCTAGTGGAAAATTGTAAATGGTGGCTTCTCAGGCTATTCTTGAGTTAATGATAGAAAGTTGCGTTCATTTATTTATTTGAACCACAAGAGGTAAAGTAGAATATTTTTGGTGTCAGTGTTTCTAACAAAACTATAACTTTAATTAATTGCAAACATGTTTAATACTTCTTAGCTCAACAAAATCTATTTTTATCAGGATAACATTTAAAATAAAAATAATACAAGGCCATAAACTGAACTAAAATTTGATATTGGTTGCAATTGTGAAGATTTAAGAAAGTAATAAAATAATGAAATAACCATACTCAACTATTTTGATAAGTCCAATAATTAAATCATTTTATACCCTTTCAGAACTTCTATAGGTTATCAATATTGAAAATTACGTCTGTGATAAAACAATATTTATATAGCAGAAGTTTCTAACTAATTAACATGTAATTTTAAAATTATGATACTTTAACACTTCTATTTTGAAAATATAAAATTATGATACTTTAACACTTCTATTTTATACTTTAAAAATAAATATTCTAAAATATTTAAATCGTGTTAGACAATGACTAAATTCAAAATACTGTAACAAGACTTTTGTGGGTGCAGTTTAAGTTGTCCATTTATACAATGCACATATAGCAGATGGCTAGTATTCCTATGCCAAATGTTTCTGAATTTAACAGGAATTTCTATTATGATTTTATTTTCATTATCTGATATTACAGATTATTTTTTTCTCTCATACATTTCCCAAATTTAAACAAAACAGTTTCCAAAGTATGTATGCCTTAAGTAAAAAATATTTGCAAAACAAATTCAGAGAAAATCTCAAGAAATACTGCAAAACCTCAGGAGACAAATATTCGCCACCTCTAGAAAACTCCTTTTAATCCAACATATTTAGAGAATGTGGGAAGATATATGTTTGTGGCTATATATACCAGAACCTGTTTTAATCCTATATTTAATCAGGATATTATCACCACAATATTATCCCAAACATTACCAAGAAGGAGACAGTACCAATCATGTTTAAGTTGATTCCAAAATATACTACATAATTAATTCTAAAACAAAATGGATTTTTAAAAATTAAATAGTAAACTACCCAGTTATCTAAGGAACAGGTACATGTGCACTCAGCTTGCATTGGGCCACTTATTATGATCAACTTTTTTTTCTATACCTGGGAAGGACTTATGGTCTAATATTACAAACGCTGGAAATATGCCTCCTGAATGTAAAGACCTCCTTTTGGGGAGAGCAGTTTCTGGTTTCAGGAAAAGAGACAGGAATACTTACTGTAGAGATGACTCTAGTGGAGTTTAGCAGGTGACTCTTCAAGAAACTCGCTTTCTATCGATACTGCATGTATTTAGGGGTTTCCAGCTTTTTAGTACACACCGAATGCACTCAGAAATGGTCTCTCTGAAAGTCGTTCACATTCCTTTGTATAGCCCAGATATACCTATAAAACGTAATTCTTTAAAAAAAAAAAAAAAAAGCACCCTTGTTTGCAGCTAGGATGAACCACTCCCTCTTTCATGGTCCTTTACAGTAAGTACGGGAGACAGCACCGGGGCTGTATTATATATAGTAGGAGAAAGACAGGCGATCAGCACAGGGCTGGAATCAACCTGTACCTGACCACCAACAAGCCTGGCACTTGTCGGGGTTATTTCCACTCCTTCCTTTTTTCAATCCGAGGATTGCACAGTCCCACGTTCGTATTACGCACATGGTGCAAGACTCCTCTGTCTCCCTTGAGTGTGACATCCAAGGGGGGCTCGCGTTGCGCCGCCTGAGCCCAGCCTGGGACGCCTTCGCCCTCGGCTGCCATCTATCGGCCACAGAGCTTCGGCTTCGCCCCGGGCCCATCATGTCTGCTGCAGCTTGGCTCGCACCAGCGGCGCGACAATAAACAAGTGCACTGGACTGGGCCCTGCATCCGCGCCGGAGGAGATGTCTCAGACCCCTGCGATGCTAACTGGGTTGCCACCTCCTCAGCGCCCAGGAGGGATGACGCGACTTTCTCTGAGTTTTTTAGAGTCTCCGGGATGCCGGGACATGCCACAGGCGTAGAACATTGTTCCTGCCCCCCAGATCCCCCAAAGGATGTCGAAGATAGAGAGTTCCAAATAATGACGATCGTGCGGCGCATCTAGGGAAGGGATATAAAAAAAAAAAAAAAAAGAAAGAAAAGAAATCTGCAAACACCGAGAGCGATGAAACAGCCAAGAGGATGCGTGAGCCGTACAAATATTAATTAGGGGTTGCGGCGGCGGCAGCAGCGGGCTCGGTGCGGGGACAGCGGCGGCGGGATCCCAGCGCGGGGGTCGCCGCTGCGCAGGGGCGGAAGACTGTACCGGAGCCGCAGCCGCCGCGGGAGCCGCCAAAGGGCCGGTGCCACCTTCGCCCGCCCCCTCACTACCATGTACAGTGTGCGCTGCAAGAAGAAGGCGGGCGATGCATGCACACCCCCGCGCCCCGCTCCCTCTGGCTCGTCTCCGGGCGTGCGCCGCTGACCAGGGGGAAATGTGGTGAAGACCGCGAGTAGAGCCGAGGGGGGAGGGGAGGGCCGGCCGGCGTGAACCCAGGCCGAAGGGTGCGAGGAACCGGAGGCGGCTAGAGGGGGCGGCGGCTGCTGCTGGCTTGGAGAAAGTTGCCACCTCTGCAGATGGCAACTGTAAGTACCCGCCTGGGGGGTGCGGCGAAGGGTGCTGGGGACCCCGCGATCGCGCAGTGGCGAGGGTGGGAGCAAGTGTGCGAGTGAGCGTGAGTGTGAGCGGGTGCGAGCGCTCGGCTGGGCTGACCGTCACGTTGGCAGGGCCGGCGGTGCCAGGCAGCCTTCTCCGCGTCCCCCTCCTCCAACGGCTCCTTCCCTGCCCCGCCCGGTTCCTGCTCACTGCCCCTACCGCGAGGCGCCTCCACAGCGGGTCCTCCGCCGCCCCCTCCCCCTCTCTTCTCAGCCCGTCGCTCTCGGTCGCCCCCTCTCCCCCACAACGCCGCTGCCCGCTCCGACTACTGCGGAGAGCGCCGGGGAGAGCCGTTTGGGAAGCCCCGCAACCCGCGGTCGCCACCGCGGCGGCGGCCCCGGGCTGGTGGCGTCCGGGCGCCTTTCCTCTGGCCGCTCGGACCGCACTGGTGGCCGCCTCCTCGCCCTACTTGGGCTTCAGAAACCTGGAGCACACCCCAGAGAGGTATTTTTTTAAGAGTGGCTACAATGAGTGGGCCCTGGAGATGTGAGACGGGGTAAGTCGGCCGTTTACTTTGCAAAGAGGCTCCTGTGTGTGTGCCTGTGCGTGTGGCGGCGGGGTGGCTTTCTTCCCCTCTCCTCCCTCCTCTCCTTCCTCCCCTTTCCCATCCTTCGCTTTGGGGCGGGGTGGGGGAGGGGGCAACCTCGCGTCTTGGTACTCCGGGTGCTTCTGCCTGGGCTGCTGTGGGAGCAGCTGTGCCTGGAGCCGCGGGTCCGGCCTGGGTGCTGGGATCCGGTCCGCGCGGCCCCAAGCTGCTTAATCGGGATATGCAGGGCGATGATAAAGGGTCTGAATTCTTTGTGGGAAAACAAATACAATTCCCCTGTCCTCCGAAAAAAAAAAAAGAAAGAAAGAAAGAAAAGAAAAAGAAAAGAAAAAGAAAAAAAAATCCGATTATCTGGGAATGTGCAACGCACTCGCGAATATACATCAGAGGTGCGTTTCCGAGTCAGATTGTCCGCCTTCTTCGGCTCATTCAACTTTATTTTGTCAAATTCTCGGGCTTCTTTGATGGCAAGGAGGAGGAGAAAGGGAGTGGAGTGAGAGGAAGCTCTTCGACCCTGCCTAACCAGAACTGAATTAAAGTTGTAAACGCTCGAGTTTAATACCGGCTGGACACAATTTGCAATGGGCTGTCAGAGGGGTGGGAGGTGAATGGGGGCGGGGAACTGCAGGGAGGGAGGGGGAGGGGATCCAATCTCGGCTGAATGGATCTGCAGATTTGATCCAGCGGAGAACTGAAATTTCAAGGTAAACATTTTGCTTTCATAGAGGCTGTTTTTGACGCTTTTCAGCAGGTAGATGTTTGCCCGTTGCGTTGGCAGGTCGGGGATACTTGAGAGGTTTATACACTGTGATTCAGATTCGTCTCGACACGTCTGGATGGCCACACGTGAATGATTCACAGACACACTTGCATATGTGCGTGAGAATGCGGGGGCTCTTAATAAGACTGGTTGGATTTGGCTGGGGATCAAGATCGCGGTCTCCAGGCTTGAACCCGTGACTTAGAAACGTCTTGGCTTTAGTTTAGGGTTGAGATTCGACATCAAACTTCAGTGGTGGTGAGGTAACGGCAAGGCTGACCAGAGAAAAAGGCATTGGTTCCCTGAGCCCAGCATTTCTACCAACTGTTCGCCCCCCTTCCTCCCCGCCCCCCCCCCAACTAACGCAACGCGCACTCACACACATTCACACACTCGCTCTATTTATGTGCTTTCCTTTGAGTGCGGTTGTCTATCCGAAGTAGGAAGTCGAAGGAAGCCTTTAAGGGGACAAAAAGAAAGCAAGAAAGAAAAGGGGGAGGGGTCAGATTAATCCCTTGGGGAAATGAAATTCGAATATTAAAGCACTGACCTATGTCACTTTCTGTTCTCCCTTTCAACCTTTTTATTTTGCCTCTTAATCAGCCCAAGTGCCTTTTCCCAAGGGAAAAAGGGGGTGGGGGGTGGGTGGGGGGAGGAATAAACCATTGACAATTAAATGTAATAAGCAACTCCAAAGATAGGTATGCCGGCGCGGTGGCAGTTCAGCCCAAATCTTACTAATTCAGTAGGGTTAGTTTTGCATACCGTAGCAAACAGACGTGTCGTCCGTGGTAAGAAAGGCTTTGACGCTGATCTTTGGTTTACTTTTAGCTGATTCCGGGTAAGCAGTTGGAACGTCCTCTTTCCTCTTTAAACTCTAGGTGTTTCCGGATTGCAGATGCCTTAGCAGAGTTCTTTGTAATCCATCGTGCACAACTATTTCGGTGGCTTAAAGATGCGTTTTGGTGGCGTCTCTGACATGATCAATGAGAAGTGGACACAGGGTGCTCTCTGGGAAGCACTGCTAAGTGGCTCCGTGCATGCAATTAGGATGCTGATGTGCTTAATAGCCTTGGTAGTGAAGTCCACCATCAAAGGGAACACGCTCTCCTTGTTTTCCACTCAAAGCTCCTGAAGACAATTGTGATTTAAGAGCTTCTTTTGGCTCCTTTTGATGCATTATCTTACATCCTTTTTGCCTCTAAAAAGTATGCTTTAAGTTCCCACCTTGACAATTGGAGAAATGGTTTAAAATAGCCCAAGTATTGTGGTTCCTTGCTTTTCTGTGAAAGTGGAAGACCTTCACCGTGAACTGTTAACTGAAGAGATTCTGAAAGACAGAGGGGCTGGGTATAGATGAGATGGGGAACCTTGTAAAATGGTGCTTCTTTTCTCTTAAATTAGAACCATGAAACTGAACTGACAGCCATTTTATGTATATTTATGAATTGGTTTTGAAAAGGGGGGAGCAAGAAAAGCACTAAAATGAGACTTTATCTAACCTGCCCTTATCTTGTAAAGAGCAGCATTTTCTGTTGTACACATTAGGAAGTGAAATCAACATTTTAGTCAAAGTGAATATCAGATTTTAATAAAGTCTGGAGAGTGTCAATGTTTTATGGTGTGTGGGGGGGTGTCATTCATAGCCCCTCCTGGATTTCAGAGAAATAGCATTAGAGAAAAGAGAGACTTTCTGACTGATCTCTTGAATTTTTGTCATATTCTGTTGTTTCCTTTTTTCCTTTCTCCCTTGCAGGAGGTAAAATGCACACTTGCTGCCCCCCAGTAACTTTGGAACAGGACCTTCACAGAAAAATGCATAGCTGGATGCTGCAGACTCTAGCGTTTGCTCTAACATCTCTCGTCCTTTCGTGTGCAGAAACCATCGATTATTATGGGGAAATCTGTGACAATGCATGCCCTTGTGAGGAAAAGGACGGCATTTTAACTGTGAGCTGTGAAAACCGAGGGATCATCAGCCTCTCTGAAATCAGCCCTCCCCGTTTCCCAGTCTACCACCTCTTGTTATCTGGAAATCTTTTGAACCGTCTCTATCCCAATGAGTTTGTCAATTACACTGGGGCTTCAATTTTGCATCTGGGTAGCAACGTTATCCAGGACATTGAGACCGGGGCTTTCCATGGGCTGCGGGGGTTAAGGAGATTGCATTTGAACAATAATAAACTGGAACTTCTGCGTGATGATATATTCCTTGGTTTAGAGAGCCTGGAGTACCTACAGGTCGATTATAATTACATCAGTGTCATTGAACCCAATGCGTTTGGCAAACTGCATTTGTTGCAGGTGCTTATCCTCAATGACAATCTCTTGTCCAGTTTACCCAACAACCTTTTCCGTTTTGTGCCCTTAACGCACTTGGACCTGCGGGGGAACAGGCTGAAACTTCTGCCCTATGTGGGACTGTTGCAGCACATGGATAAAGTTGTGGAGTTACAGCTGGAGGAAAACCCCTGGAATTGCTCCTGTGAGCTAATCTCTTTGAAGGATTGGTTGGACAGCATCTCCTACTCCGCCCTGGTGGGGGATGTGGTTTGTGAGACCCCCTTCCGCTTACACGGCCGGGACTTGGACGAGGTGTCCAAGCAGGAACTTTGCCCCAGAAAACTTATTTCAGACTATGAGATGAGGCCGCAGACGCCTTTGAGCACCACGGGGTATTTACACACCACCCCAGCCTCGGTGAATTCCGTGGCCACTTCTTCCTCTGCTGTTTACAAACCCCCCTTGAAACCCCCTAAGGGGACCCGCCAACCCAACAAGCCCAGGGTGCGCCCCACCTCTCGGCAGCCATCCAAGGAATTGGGCTACAGCAACTATGGCCCCAGCATCGCCTACCAGACCAAATCTCCGGTGCCTTTGGAGTGCCCCACCGAGTGCTCTTGCAACCTGCAAATCTCAGATTTGGGCCTCAACGTCAACTGCCAGGAGCGCAAGATCGAGAGCATCGCAGAGCTGCAGCCCAAGCCCTACAACCCCAAGAAAATGTATCTGACAGAGAATTACATCGCTGTGGTGCGCAGGAGCGACTTCCTGGAGGCCACCGGGCTCGACCTCCTTCACCTGGGCAACAACCGCATCTCCATGATCCAGGACCACGCCTTTGGGGATCTCACCAACCTGAGGCGCCTCTACCTAAATGGCAACAGGATTGAGAGGCTGAGTCCAGAGTTGTTCTATGGCCTGCAGAGCCTGCAGTATCTCTTCCTCCAATATAATCTCATTCGCGAGATTCAGTCTGGGACCTTCGATCCGGTCCCAAACCTCCAGCTGCTATTCTTGAATAACAACCTACTGCAGACCATGCCCTCAGGCGTCTTCTCAGGCCTGACCCTCCTCAGGCTGAACTTGAGGAGTAACCACTTCACCTCCTTGCCGGTGAGTGGAGTTCTGGACCAGCTGAAGTCACTCATCCAAATCGACCTTCACGACAACCCTTGGGATTGTACCTGCGACGTGGTAGGCATGAAGCTGTGGGTGGAGCAGCTCAAAGTGGGTGTCTTGGTGGACGAGGTCATCTGCAAGGCGCCCAAGAAGTTCGCTGAGACAGACATGCGCTCCATTAAGGCGGAGCTGCTATGCCCAGATTACTCGGACGTGGTAGTTTCCACGCCCACGCCCTCCTCCATCCAGGTCCCCGCGAGGACCAGCGCTGTGACGACCGCCGTCCGGTTGAACAGCACTGGGGCCCCCGCCGGCTTGGGCGCGGGCGGCGGTGCGTCATCGGTGCCCTTGTCGGTGCTGATTCTCAGCCTGCTGCTGGTTTTCATCATGTCCGTCTTCGTGGCTGCCGGGCTTTTCGTGCTGGTTATGAAGCGCAGGAAGAAGAACCAGAGCGATCACACCAGCACGAACAATTCCGACGTAAGCTCCTTCAACATGCAGTACAGCGTGTACAGCGGCGGCGGCGGCGCAGGCGGCCACCCGCACGCGCACGTGCACCACCGCGGGCCCGCGCTGCCCAAGGTGAAGACGCCCGCGGGCCACGTGTATGAGTACATCCCCCATCCACTGGGCCACATGTGCAAAAACCCCATCTACCGCTCCCGGGAGGGCAACTCGGTGGAGGATTACAAAGACCTGCACGAGCTCAAGGTCACCTACAGCAGCAACCACCACCTGCAGCAGCAGCCGGCGCCGCCGCCGCCGCCGCCGCCACAGCCCCAGCAGCAGCCCCCGCCGCAGCTGCAGCTGCAGCCGGGGGAGGAGGAGAGGCGAGAAAGCCACCACTTGCGGAGCCCCGCCTATAGCGTCAGCACCATCGAGCCCCGGGAGGACCTACTGTCGCCGGTTCAGGATGCCGACCGCTTTTACAGGGGCATTTTAGAACCAGACAAACATTGCTCCACCACCCCCGCCGGCAATAGCCTCCCGGAATATCCTAAATTCCCATGCAGCCCTGCAGCTTACACTTTCTCCCCTAACTATGACCTGAGACGCCCCCATCAGTATTTGCACCCGGGGGCAGGGGACAGCAGGCTGCGGGAACCGGTGCTTTACAGCCCCCCCAGTGCTGTCTTTGTAGAACCCAACCGGAATGAATATCTGGAGTTAAAAGCAAAACTAAACGTTGAGCCGGACTACCTCGAAGTGCTGGAAAAACAGACCACATTTAGCCAGTTCTAAAAGCAAAGAAACTCCCTTGGAGCTTTTGCATTTAAAACAAACAAGGAAGCAGATACTCACGGTGAACTCTTTTTGATTAATTGTGTTGTTTCAACGTTTAGAGTGAAGTGCCTTGGCACGAGATTCTCAGTTTCCGCGGAAGATACTGAAAGGGTGTGCAATTTCCTTTTAATTTTACACGTGGGGAAACATTTGTGTAAACTGGGCACATCACTTTTTCTTGCGTGTAGGGGAGAAGAGAAGGGCTTTTTGGAAGCAATTGTCTACGCAGGTGACTTAAAGGTCGCAGTCATTTTTGTAGTGGTTGGAAGTGCTAAGAATGGTGGAAGATGGCAGCGCATAGATTCCACTCTTCCTCTTTTGCTCCCTTCCCCCCTCCACTTCTCCCCCTTTAAGCCATGGGTGGGTCTAGATGGCTTTTGTGGCAAGATTAGCACACCCCAACTTTAATAGAAAGTTAATTCGCTTCCTTTCCCCCATCCTCCTTCTCTCTTTCCTCTCTTTGCCTCTTTGCCTCCCACCTCATTCTTTAATTTCTTTTTAAAGGATGTGTTTGTATGCATTCTGGACATTTGAATTAAAAACAAAAGTATTGTGATCTCTAAAAGGATCACCGTAGATGCGGACAAATCATTAAAATTACAGAGCTATATGATCCATAATTGATTAGTCAAAATAACTTATTGATGAAATATACAAATATTTTATTGTAGCACCTATTTTTATATGCACATTTAGCATTTCTCTTTCATTCACTATTTAGCCTATGATTTTCACAGAGGTGTCGCACTATTTCAGGAGCTGCATTTCCTAAACTGAAGTGCTATCAGGAAGACATTTTAAATCATTAAAACTATGGAGAATTTAATGGCAAAATTTTAAAGCCAATGCAACCCACCCAATTGGATCAGTAATTTAAAAAAATATATATATATGTATCTCAATGTATAAAAGAAACAAATTTGGGCAATTAATTGGGCCATTCGAATGAGAATCGTGTGCAAGTTTCTGGTTTATTAGAGAAGATTTAAAAGTATTTTTATTAGTCAACCAAAATTATGTATTGATTTGACTACTATTGTAGCCAATTTTTGATTGTTTAACCAAACCCCGTTGCATTTGTACAGATCCACGTGTACTAGCACCTCAGAAGACCAAATGATGGACTGTACAAATCTCTATATAATGTCTTTATCCCTCTGGGCAGCAAGCAATGATGATAACCACAAACAGGATCTCTGTAAGATGGGGCTACTGTTGTTACAGTCTTATATGTATCCCAGCACATGTAATTTTTTAAATAATTTCTGAATAAACACTTGATAACTATGTCAAATATGAGGGATTGAAGTAATGATTACTTAAAGAATGAAAGAATTAGCTATGTGTGATTGACTGAATCTCCATTATTAACAATTTAGGACATAGCAGATAATTTATTCCTAATAGAAAAATGTTTCCCCTATCAGATTTAAAATATATATATATGATTATTCCTATGTTGGTTCAGGGAATTATGTTTTTCTAAATATGTCATTTAAGGTGTTTATTAATGAAATTTTAATTGTATACTTTTTCTTACTGAAATATTCATCTAATACATGGAGCATGGTAAGTAATATATTGCATATTCATTTTTCTCCTAATATTATGTATTTTGTCATGTCAATATTATTTATTCAATCTACAAATTTCCATAGTTTCCATATTTTCACTTGTGTAAAACTACCTTCAACAATTGTGATGGATACTTTATCTCAAGTTGATCTATATCTTAAACATTCAAAATGTTGGTAGGAATGAGCTGTTCACCTCTGAATAAGGTTTGCCAGTGAATTTAGATTGCTATTTAGGGTTAGGAAACGTTTGAATTAATCTGAAAATTAAAGAGCCATGTTCTTCATTGCTATTGGTGGGTCTTCCCATAATCTCACCTGAAATGTGTACAATATCAAGGGCTGTTCATGAACTTTATGTTTAAGGAACACTTTCCATGGCATTCTGCCACAAAGAGGCAGCATTCACCCATGAGTAAATTGTAAGTAACTGCTTGAATTCAGGTTGAACAGGTGGCAATAGTTTCCCTGAGGAATTAAAAAAGTATATATATATAGTAATGCTATATTAGCCAAGTGAAATAAACTATCCCCATTCTGTGCAACATTTTCCCTTCCAATTTTTTTAAGGAGAAAAGAACAAGATTAATAATGCCATGTGATAATATCATGAAAAATTAAAAATGTTTCTCTTACTTTTCATCTACCTCCTCCATATTAGATCCAGGATTAGGAAAGAAAAATAAATATTATCATTTGATTTCACAATTGGGGTTGTTATTAATTTCTCTTCACAATGGGAGTTATTTTTCTTTAAAAAATGTCAAAATCACTTCCTCAATATATGTAGATATGGTGGTGGTGTATAAATTATAAAATAATAATGAAAAGTGGAAACTTCCATGTAACTAAGTTTTATTTCCTAATTGATGCATAAAATGTGGGAGAGAAGAATTACATGAAATTAAAGATGTAGTTCTGGACAATATAAATAGCTTCCAAAGAAAGTTAATTGTTGTACTTTTCAAAGATTTACAAAATAACGTTTTTGAACTAGCACTATTGCACATAATTTGTCACATATACTCTCTTTAGGTGGCTCATTTAGACTTTCACTCTTCCTAAGATGTCCAACATTTTTTTAAATCTCAGAAATAACAATTATATGGTATATGAAAACAAGTTACTTCTAAGTTCTAAATTATATTTTCCCAACTGTTAAGAGGATAAAAGCAAACTCATAATTTCTCTAATAAACTTGAAAATTTTTTGACATGTAAAATCATGAAACTGGATAGAATTAAAAATGAATTATTTCTTGTACATGTTTTCTTGTCAATACAGTAACATATACAATAGAACATAAGTCGTGTAGTTTTCAATATTCGATTTTTGTTTTTTCTGGTTGTTCGACGAATAAATAATTAAATTGAGTATGTCAGTGGTATATGATTGAATTAAGGGACTCTGCAAATTTTCTCCATAGAATTTTGGAGAACAACAATATGTAATGTTTCAGGCATCAATTAAAATTTGGATGCAAACTAAGCTTACTCTTTGTGCTTGTTCTATTTGATATGTTGCATAATCGCATACAAATATATTTCCAAGTAGATACTATAAAATCTTATTTTTATCTATGTATGATTCTAATGTAAATACTTAAATTATCTCAGAGAAAGTAAATATATTCTATGTAAAGGTGGGTAATTTGTATGCTAATATTCTAAATCATTTACAGCTAAACTATTGATTGAGTTATGAGTTAATCAACTTTAATATAAATGTCATACTTGGAACACACCTTTTGTTTAGGCAAGATTATCACCTTTACATATTTGAAGTGGAAATTTTTGATTAATGTCCTGGGTTTCCTAATCTGTCTCACTATTGTTCCCTCAACCTCAATAGGAAAATCAAACTAGTGTGTAATGAAAACATTCATACATAGTGTGGAAAAGTTTAGAATGAAGACCTTATTCTAATATACCAGTTTCTTTTACCCTATATCATTAATTCTATTTTTGTTTCTAAGTTATGTTGTTAGCAAATCATTTAAATTAAATGTGTAATTTTCATTCTACACTCTTAATTTTTTGACTCTCTTCCTTTTTTCTTAGATCTTACTTCCTCCCTCCTTCCCTCTTCTTATTCTTTTCTCTTCATTATTTTT